ATGATTTTTAATGAGGCAGTATGAAGCACGTCCAACTTCATGTTACAGTTTTATTATAGAGTTGTATTTTTTTACTTAGGTTTTTTCCCACTAGGTTTTTCTTGAGTAAAGTTAAATACAATGGTTTGATACCATAATGATTTTCCAAAAACCGTTAAATATACCATAAAATTATCGAATACCCAATATCGTATCTGTGTGATTATTAAAAACCCCTTTGTAAAAGTATTAAAAACTTCTCTATCATTTAATAGTTTTTGAAAAGTGTTGAGACACTTAACCCCTTAAATTCATAATAAATTTTTAGAAGAACCAAAATTTTAAAACAAAAACCTGAAATTCACAAAAGGAAAATTATATAATCAAACTTGGTGAAGTTTTGGCCTTTTTTTTTTCTTTTTTGAAAATTCTTGTTTTATTTTAAAATTTTCTTAATATTAGGTTGTTTTATTTTTTTTATGTTTCAATTTTATTTTTTTATTTTTTTTTTTGGGGGGGGGGGGGGGGGGGTTAAGTAGTATTTGGTTATTATTGTAGTAAAAGTCAATACAACCCTCTAATTTTAATTTTTAAACACCAATGATCCCAAAGGAAACAACTGGGGAGATGAGTGTGTATTTGAAACCTAGGGTCTAATGTAAATACGTCAAGTTGAGGAGTATAAATTATTGAGTAAATAAAAAAATTTTTGAACTGTATATAAATAATAAAAATCTGTGCTCCGAAAACGTGAGAGCGGGCAGGGTAAACTATTTGTAAACGTTAAACGTGTGCAACGGAAGCGTGCGTGGTGCATGCATAGCAGGACACGTTACAGCGTGGTGCGTAGAATGGCACGTGTGAAATTCCCAACCAACATGGTTCGGACTCACACTAGGTCCAATGTGTTTTATTGAAATCGAACAAACAAATGAGAAATGCTTTAATGAAGAAGAAAATTAACAACAAACGACGCCCAAGAATGGCTTTAATGAAGAAAACAAAGATGCTTTCTTTAGAAAATATTGGTGTTGTTCAAACGAAACAAAGTTTTAATTGTCTTGTGTTTAGATTAGAGGGTTTATTTTATAATTAACTGAAACTTTAAGAGAATTTACTCGAGTAAATCCCGCATCGTTTGACCTAACATGGATTAATAAGTGTATAGTAAAGATTAATCCAAATCTTTTATTTTTTTGACTGACTAAAAAGACTATCTTAGAATAATGGGATGATCTGGATCTTTTCTTTCTACAAAGGAATATATGAAGAAGAAGATTATGAATGACTGATGATTTTCATTAAGCTATCGTCTGTTTATCAACCTTTTCGATGGCTTTTCTTTCCATTTCGGACAAGGAGATCAACTTTGGTTTAAAAGCGGTTAAAAAAGACATCGTTTCTTCCTTGGTAGCTTTCGGCGATATGGATTGAGATCATCACATTCTTGGCTTTTTGTGTGTATTAATCTTCTTCTACAGAGACCACTTTGTTCTTGTATTATTTCAAAATTTGGCTGTAAATGGGCGGTTTGTGTAAGCCAATCGTCGACTACTGACAATGTGGCGAGTCGACGGAAGGAGTTTGAGGGGTTTTGGTAAGTAATGATCAGGAAGAAAAATGGTGAGTAGTGTAGGGGCTTAACGTGTCGAAACAGAATAGAAAATTTCAGTAGTAAAATAGTATTTTAAAAGTCCATAGGTGAGAAAGTGTCTTAAACCATTCTTTGGTGGGAAAAAGTCATTTACTCAGTAAAATAAAAAAGTTTCGTCTAAGTTATAAACCCTGTTTGAATTTTCTGTTTGATTCATGGGAAACTGGTAAATGTTCCTTTAAAAATAGATTAATCAATTTGAATTTGAATGAATTAAATGGATGGAGCTATCCACCATAATGAAACACATTGTATGGTATTAACTAATCAAATTGATGAAATAAATTAATTAGATTATGAAAAACCATGTAATATAAACGAAACTTTTGTCTTTTAGACCTTAAAGTTGGAGGGCAATTTGAACTCTCTTTTTTAGGTATCATGTTGCTATCATCTTTAATTATCCCGCAAGCTACGGTAAGAGACATCACTATGACTATGAGGAGGAGCCTATTCCATCAAACCAAAACATTAATTTTCCATTTGGACGCAACAGTCACAAAGGTTGCCATGCTTATAACACTTTTTTCTTCCCCTTGACTAGATTGTTCTTCAATATTCACAAATACACATAAAGTCTTCCATTTTCAACACAATAACTGGTAAAAACGCGTTACTTACATTGGTTTTGCTACAATATTTTGACTGATAATACATCCATTCCACTCTTGAGAATATAAAGTGGGTTGTTTATAACTGTCGGTGCCATTGATATGATAGTTTCAAACATGACGTCAAAAATTTCAGTTCATGCTTCAGATTCAGTCGGCAGGTAATTGATTCCATCAGCATCATTCTTCCTATGTTTTCAAACAAAGCTTATTATTTATTAATAAACTTATCATTAATTTAATTATAAGGTGAAGCATATAATTGTTTTCATTACTTCATGATTCCCTCAACGAAAAATGAAAATGAGAGAAATCACTTAGATAAGCGAGTTCTATGGCATAGGGCATTGACGCCGATATTTTTGTTTTGTTGGTTATCCCCAACATCGTGGAATGATGCGTTACTTCTTTTTCTTGATATAAATGTTATCAATTAAGAGCATTTTGTGTTTTCCCACCCATTTATCCAAAGAATCACCGAAAGTTAGATTTATACTAAGCATCCAAACAAAGCCCTATAACTACAAATATGGTGGGACTAGTGCTATTGGCATCTCTTCAAACTTGTTTTAAAGCAATATATTCCAAAAAGCTTAAATGGGAACTCATATTTTAGGGTCAAGCAATATTGAAAGATGTGCCAGAAACATGCAAACTTTTGTTCCCTAGATCGTGTTTTTTATACAAAAAGTTACAAATAAAAGTAATTTTTACAATGGTATTTCAAAAAATAATAAAGGGCTTTTGAAAAAAAGAAAAAAAAAAATCATGTAGTATCTCAGTTAAACTAAACACCCTGTTGTGAGTGTTGGTATAAGTTTCAATTTTCTACACGTAATTATAATGAGAGTGTTGATTTGAATTGGCAAAATGAAGGATCCCAAACCGTGGGCTCAAGGGGGATGCCCTTGTCAAAGGCATGCAATTGAAAGACGAACCCAGTTAAGTTGCGTGGAAGCACCCTCGCCCATCCATTTGTGCATGCAATTGTAAAACTAGAGGACTTCGATTTTAAATTTTCAACCTTTCCGTATTAAGATCAGTCATATATGTCCTCTCTGGATAAAACCTAATTTTTGTCTTCCCCTCGCGCCAAAAAACTACTACCACTATAGCACTAACCCAGTTTCACTTTAAGACCTTAAAATTGTCCCCGTTGAATTAATCACTATTAAAAAGATAATCAAGATGATATAAAACCAAAATGGCTATGAAATTTTAAGGGGGTTCTTCTGGTTGTCCGCCGATGAAAAAGAAGTGCTAAAAAATAAGACAGGTTCTTTGGAGCGGCATAGTTGATATATAAGAGTGTACAATGTTAAAAAAATTCCTAAGTGTTGCAATCGTTAGTTGTCTAGCCAACAGAGCGGACAATTTGAGGGTGGCAATGGCTGTATTTTGACTTCTACCTAATTATATATATCTAAAATCCAAGTGCCAATACAGCTTTCATGGGTCCTAATTATGGGCCTTTTGGTTCACAGTAACTAAGTCCAAATACGGTTTTTGGCGTTTCGGTAATTGTTTCTGAGGTCGTAATCTAAACGTTTTTAAACCATTTTGACTCGTGTTATTATAATGCAACAGTTGATCTACGTCTATGTGAAAATTTTGTTTAAGTTGAAAACAAAGATTAAGGTAAAGACTTGTTTGGAAGAGAGAAAAAATAAGAGGAAAAAAAAGAAAATAGTACTGTTCAATCTCAAATCTAGTGAAAAAAGTGGATTTTTCATTTTCATCTTTGTTGCTTTGTGGCCGGTAGAAGACGACAAAAGTAGTTCCAAAAAAAATAGAGTGAACCAGAGTTTTAACCAAGGCCGTCTTGAAAAACCTCTTAAAAAACCCTCCACTAGCTCCTTCAAACTCCCCCTCCAAGGTCTCTCTCTCTCTTTTCTCTCCACTAAATAAAGAGAAGAAACTTAACCCAACTTTTCGCTCATAACTACAAGAATGGGCCAGCTTCAACTTCTCCTCTCTCCCCAAATGTGCCTCAAATCATCAACCTACCGTCACCCAGTGCGGACTCCGTTGAGGGCGACATGCATGCCTCATTGATCGACAAAAGCTCACAAAATTCGAAGCTTCAGCCAAATGATGATCAAACCCAGAAAAACCACAAAAGACCATCTTTCTCTGCTATTCAAGAAGCCATTTCCATTGCTAAAAATAGCTTACCCATGAGATAAATGGCCTTTTGCTTTACTCTCGTTCAATGATCTCCATGCTTTTTTCTTGGTCGCCTCGGTGACTTGGCTTAGCTGGTGGTTCACTTGCTGTTGGCTTTGCTAATATCACTGGTTACTCCTATTCTTCTGGTCTCGCTATGGGAATGGAACCCATTTGTGGTCAAGCTTTTGGTGCAAAAAACACAACTTCTTGGCCTCACCTTGCAAGAACTGTACTTTTGCTCATATTAACTTCACTTCCCATATCTTTCTGTGGCTAAACATGAAAAGTATTTACTCTTTTGTGGTCAAGATGTCGATATAGCCACAGAAGCACAACATATCTTCTTTATTCTATCCCTGACCTCTTAGCTCAGTCTCTTTTACAACTTTAAGAACTATCTTAGAACTCAATCAATAACTTTGCCTCTAACGTTTTGTGCCACGCTAGCAATTCTTTACACATCCCCATAAACTTCTCGTTGTCACCTTAATTTAGGCCGAAGGCGTGTCTTAGTGGGATATGGACTAACTTCAATCTTGTAGCCTCTTAATCATCTATATTCTTATCTCAGGTGTCCATAAGAAAACATGGGGAGGATTTTCCATGGACGCTTCAAAGAATGGAAATCTCTCTGAATTAGCCATTCCCAGCTGCGTTTCAGTGTGCCTTGAATGGTGGTGGTATGAGATCATGATTTTACTATGTGGTCTTCTGTTAAATCCGAGAGCAACAGTTGCTTCAATGGGCATTTGATACAAACCATCAATAACTACATCTTCCCATCATCTCTAAGCTTCAGTGTATCAACAAGAGTTGGTAATGAACTAGGAGCAAGCCAGCCCGCCAAAGCAAGATTAGCCACAATGTAGGGCTTTGGGCAGTCATGCTCGGCTTTTCGGCTCTGGTTTTTGCCGTAACGGTTCGAAACATATGGGCTAGTATGTTCATCAAGACAAAGAAATCATCGCATTAACTCATGTTTTGCCATAATTGGGCTTTGTGAACTCGGAAACTGCCCACAAACAACAGGTTGCGGAGTTTTAAGAGGAACGGCCGGCCTAAAGTTGGAGCAAACAAACTTGGGTTGTTTTTACCTGTTGGAACTCGGTTGCCGTGTGGTTTCATTTTATGCAGGGTTTGATTTTAGGGGCTATGGTTAGGTCTATTGGTTGCACAGGGCTCAGTGTTGTGACCATGTTGAGGTTTGACTAGAACTGATTGGGATGATGAGGTACGAAGAGCCAAAACTGCTGACCGGCGAACAGAAACCAACATAGCTGAAATCAAGGAAGATTCTTTATTAGAGTGATTTAGATGAATCTAATCATTCTGTCTGTTAGTGTTTTTTTTTCTTTTTAAATTGTTATAGGTTCCAGCAGATAAAAGTAGCTAAACCCTTTTTTTTTTTTTTTTTTAATTTTATTTTACCACCTTTTTTTTTTTTTTTTTTTTTTTAATGTATTATTGCATATAACCTATTAGAAATTGAAAAACAGGAGGAGATTACTCTGTGATACTCAAAATGTCTGATTTGTTATTTGACTAAGAGACATTAGCAAAGCTTTCGAGTAAAAATTTAAGTTTCACATTCCATAAAATCTTTCAAACACTGGAGAAGCGTCAAATACCTCAATAAACTGTTTCCTTCTGTAATCATCTACTACAAATTGGAAGGAATTTTACGCTTGTGGATTCACTAATAACTAGAGGATACATACATACATACATACTTAATTAATTAATTAACAACGAATCCAAATTCTGACTAGTTAAATTAATATGAAAGCATTTTGGAATATGTCATTGGTCTTTGTAAATAGATCAAAATTAAGATTTTGCTCCATAGTTCAGGCATTAGGAGTAAATCTTAAAAAAACCATTCATTTTTTTATCGAATTTAAATATCCATTATGAATTAAGGACAAATATATAATAAATAATTGATTTTCATGATCTTTAAGTGAATTTAATTTCTTTTTAATATAATTAACATATGTGGTCAAATGTAACACGTTAGAGTATCTCAAATAACTCTTTATAGATCAAAATCTTTATTAAAGAGTTTATCTATAGAAATAAGAGTCCAACATACTTTTATTCTTTTAATATAATTTAATAGTAAGTTTTACTCTTCACATTTAGAGAGTCCAATTTCACTTTATATCCTAATTTAAATAATAAATTGCAAGCTTCTTCTATACATTTTATTTATGATCTTTTCTATTAAATTTATTTTTGAAAAAACATATACTCTCTCCTAAAATTAAAGAGTCTATTGGATTTAAATAAAAAAATTTGTTCTTTATATTAAATCAATTAGGTGCTGTGTTAAAATAAAGATCATCATTGGAGTGTTCTTAGGCCAATTCATTGATATGCAATCTTTTCAAAATAAGCGTGTATTTAAAAAATTATCATGTAATTATTCAAAATTCAAATTTAATATTTACAATTGAATACAAAAGTTGACCCTTTAATAAGTTGATCAAAAAGTAGAGGGGAAATCACACATAAAACTAACTTTAAAAAAAAAAAAAAAAAAAAAAAAAAAAAAAAAAAAAAAAGTCAAAGGTACACAACAAAATGCAGAATTAAACATTTTTATTTATGCTAAATTATAGTTTAATCCCCTAGCCTACACAAAAAGGTAAACGTTTTATATTCCTCAAATTTTGCGCAATTTACTAAACAAATGAACAAATTTGTCACAAGTTTTAAACTCCTTCCCTACATCAAGTTTTAAATAGAGATCTTGTTTTAGTGAGCTGATAATTTTAGTTTGTATGTCGGTTGTTTAGGCAATCAAAATGACGTGTCACCGCCGCTGGTAAAATGACCAAGTCGTCGTCCTTATTTCACTGTCATCTCCGTGTGTTTCTATTACGAAAAGAACAAAAAAATTAAACACAGATTTTTAAAAGGGGATCGATGTGGGTTATGACCAAAGAACATATGCAGATGCGGTTTGTCACAAATAATATTGAAGTGGTATACAAGTTGCAAAGTCATTAATGGAAGTCAAATAAAATAAAATGGTGTAATATTGAAGACTCCTTTAAAAGGAATTAAAGTGAGAGAGTCTTCTCGTCTTGGATATGGGAATATATTCTTATCAAAGTTTTAACCAAGTTTTTATGCGATTATACCTTAAAATTTCATTGGGAGGAGAGGAATAAGAGTTGACCAAAGGTTGATTTTAGTTTAATTTTAATATCTTTAAAATTAATCATTAGTCAACCCTAGTTGATCAAAGTGGCTTTTACTTAATACAATTTTTTACCCTTTGTCCTTTGTCCTTTTCATTTTTTGTTCTTATGTAAACAGCGACAACCCCTCTACAATTTTTTAATTAATAAGAGAGAGATTAGGATGAACTAATCTTTTTTTTATTACAAATTCGGTCCAATTAAATCCAAGTAGTACCATTAACAAATTTATTCTTAGATATATCAAAAAGAAATGGGTTGACTTTATATTGAATGAAAACTAAAATATGAGGGGACTTCTCTGGTTGCCTAATATCAGTTTGAATTATTTATTTATTTTACTAAATGGACAAAGGTTAAGAAATAAGATGATATAAATGTGTCATTTGAACATCAAAAGTTGAAGAGACTTTAGGCTTGCGGAGGATAGTGCGAATTTAATAAATTAATTAAAGTTCCTCAAATTATGACACTTGGAAGCGAGGTTGTCACACCACGATGAATTCTTATATATAATATATATATATATATAAAAAAGGAGGCTCTTTTATCTCGTAAAATAGTTTAAAAATTCTAGTCCTTATTCCATATAAAAATTTGTGATTATATCTGCAGATAACCTAAACAAATTTTCGTAATTTGAAGAAATTACAAATTATATAAGGGAGCTTCCATAATCTGTTCAGCTATCTCAATAATATAGATTATAAAGATATTTAAATATATAAGTTTTTTTTATGCAAACTCTTGCTTACAAAATGAGGTGGTCAAAATAAATGGACAAGCACATAAAAAAAAAAAATCAACTTTAAAATGATGTAAATATAAATACATGTCATATTTGTACAGTAACATTAATCATAAGAGATTGCTTTATACTTTCCACTATTTTTTTATAAATTTTTTTTTTTTTAAAAAGAAAAAGAAAAAAGAGAACCTTACCCATACCATCTCATAAGGGATAAAAGTAACAATATATATATAAGTTTTTTTTTTTAAAAGAAAAAGAAAAAAAGAGAACCTTACCCGTACCATCTCATAAGGGATAAAAGTAACAAAATATATATATATATAAAGCGAGAATATTGATTCATAAATTAATTTAGATGGTTTTGATTCGATAAAGTATTAAGTTTTTTACTTTTTCATTTTATAAACAAAAAGTTATAATAATTTAAGATTTTGAACTAAAACTTGGTTAAAAAAAAAAAACACATAAGTGGGCAAATTAGGATTAAATGCTAGTGTAACCAATACAGAAAATTGTGATTAAATATTGGAATTGGCTAAATGTTTAATTAAAAAGTTGTAGAATTATTTATACTATATGGACTGCCGCTGCCCTAATATTATTATTATTCTTAAACGTAGTGACAAGGACACAAGTGCTAATACTGTGCAGCTGACTATAGTTTCCCTTTTTATTATTTTACCAACTTAAAAAAAAATTATTTGAACAAAAAAATTTCAAATAAATAATTAAGGATAAAAGATTCTACCCTTTTTTTTTTCTGATGTTGTAGCGGAACTTGCTGGCGCCATTCATGGATCAAGATGGTTGACCTTTTTTTTTAAGAGTTGATCCACACCATCGGATCTTTCCTGCACTATCATTAATAAATAGAAATAAATAAATAAATAAGTTAAATATTGTAATTTAAACTTGGGAATTTGAAACAGGAATAAATTTTTTAACTGTTCGTTGCTGATTTCAATATAATTATTTGTAAATAAGTGTTAATTAAATAAATAAATAAAATAGAGTTTAATATTGCTAACTCCACCATTCAAGATACGGTGGTTAAGAGTGATGATTAAATTAAATAAAAGGTACAAAAATGAAAAACCTAATATTAAGAAAAAATAGAAAAAATAAATAATTAATTAAAAAGTGCTTGATGTTTATATATTTGACCACGAGAATACATGCGGAGGGCTTACTACAATTTTTTTTTTTTTTTTAAAAGAAAAGAAATATTGATCTCCTTTTAATAATCCTTTAAGAATCCCGATAAATAAAATAGAATTTGTGTAAATATATAAGACATGTCTCCTTCTTTTGATGAAACATATATAAGAATAATTAATTTGAGAAATTTTTTAATGTATTCCTAGATGTTAATTAATAATTAAATTAGCCCTTTTGAGGCATTGAAGAGAGCAAAAATATAAAAAATACTAATAATTTAAATAAAATTATATTAATGCATTGGATCGTACTCATGATTATTAATAAATTTTTCTTTGAACAATCTAACCCTAAGTCTTTAATTAGGGCTCTTTAATTAATTACCATACCTCCTAAGAGTGGCGAAGCATCAAAAGAAAGATAAAATAAATACAATAATATTTTAAGTCTCAACTCATATAATTAATAATTTTGGGAAGAAAAACAGAAGTGGGGTGTCATAGCTGATAGCTTCATAGGCCAATAACATTTGTATGGTTCAAAAATATTACGTTTTCTTTGACTTAAATTGTTCAAAGTTTGAGATTCACATTTGATTCGTCTTCAAAACATAAACATTTGCTTAGACTACAACCTATTTTTCCTTAAATTATAAGCACGATTGAAGAGAATTTATCTCTTTTGAAATGGGAAGAGACAATGACACCTTTAAATAGAGTATAAATTTATGGAGATTTTGGCTCTACAAAGAGGCGAAAGTGAATCAGCAATTAATGTCTTGGGATTTAAGGCATAATCTTTCTGCTTAACTTGAAGCTAAACTACGAATATGGTCAAATATTATTGCCCCCATTGATTCAACAAAGTCGTATACGGTGCAATAATTAATCTGTAATTAAATTATGGCTTGATATGCGGAGCTTTTACTGCACCCAGTAAGAGAGAAAATTACAGCTATATTATATATATATTATGGATTGCCAACCGAGCATGTATCCTTTCGAAATAACTATGAGTAAAGGTTCTGAAACCCACTGCAAATTTATTAATGCCATTAACATAAACAAACTGAATAAT